AACACATTAGTAAATTACTTTGCCTATCAGTCCTAAATAAATGTGTGGGTAATTCAGGGGGAAAATGCTATAGGTCTCACACTTTGTTTTGTAGCTTATTAAAGAAAGGGAATAATAAATGCAAACGCTGAGCTGCTTTAGCATTTCTAACCAGTTAGCACAATAGTGAATGAGAAGCAGGGGTAGGAACCTCTATTTTCATGTGTATATGTTGAATACCAGCCATAGTACAGGCTCAGGTACTTGTTAGTGAAGAGCAGTTGTTTTTCCTGACCATTCAGTAAACTGGACTGCAAAACGTATCAAAAGGGAGAAGTCTCTTTGAGTCTGTCTCACCTCTTTCTGCTTCAGACCTTGGATTCCCACTGATGTTTTGGTATGATTGATATTGTACTTACTTTGGTTACTTGACCACAAAGAAGATAGTTTGCTTATCATCAACAGTTCAGAGTATGCTAACCCCTGCTTTGTTTGAAAAGACAACATTTAGGAACAGATGCTTGGTTTTTTGAGCTTTTTTTGGTAAAATGTTGACAGACATTTTTCTTATAAATTTGAGCATTTTCTTTTTGAGTTTCATAAAAAGTAGCTAACACTGACCATGTATCTTTGAACCTTTTCTTCCCCCTTGTACTTTTTATGGTGGCGTATGACACAAAAGCAATAACAGCAGTGAACAATATGACAAAGTATGTAAGAGTGATGCTTGCTACCTTCTCTAAGTAACAATCTATCAGATACACTGCCAAAAGGAAGACATTTGTAGTGTTAAATAGAATGTCCACAATGTCATGAGACCTATGCCTTTAGGCAAGAAAATGATCTAAAGGTATTCATTACAGTAGAAGGTGACCATAAAACTACTCACTTTCAGAACAAAGAAAAGCACTAAATTTTGTCTTGACTTTCACAGTAATTTCTTGACTTCCTTACTCATTGCTGAAGAGACATACTCAGCAAAGAAAAAGCATTCAGCATAAATTTTTGTACAAAGTGAGAACACAGGTGCAGAAAGGAGGAATTATTTGATTTCTTCCATTTTAAAATATTTTAGAAGTGGTCAGATAGTGATGTAGATTTTATGACTTTTTGCCTATCCCTTTTATGTTATTCTACAAGGTTTTTTTGTTATAAGGTTGAAATTCTGAAAGTGTTGTCTTAATTAGCATAAGTATAGACATTTTGATGTTACCCTTAAAAAGTAACAACTGATCATATGGGTGAAAAAGTCTGTGGCAAAATTAGAGGCTTAGTCCTAAAATGACTGGCTCCAAGGTCTTTACACCTGTTTGTGTAGATTAACAATCTAGCAAATTGCTCTCTTTAAGTTTCAAACACTGTGTGAAAGATTAAATAAAAGAATAGCTACAATTACATGTGTGTTTATGTGCAAGGCTGAAGATTGAGAAGTGGCTAAACTCTTCCCACTTATATTTTACTCTAAACTATTTCATTGCTGGAATCAGTTGAGAAGCAATTTGTGCTAATGGCTTATCTTTCTTCATACCTTCATACATATTTGTCCTGGTATATTCCAAAACCAGTAGAGATCTGGCCCTTGGGAACTGCCCAAACCAGTAAGCAGCAGCAAATGGGAAAATGTGCCATCATCTGCAAAGGCATCTTCAGCAAAACTGGATGGTCTAATTGTATGCCTCACCTAAACCATGTTCCTACCTAGAGGGGTTGGACCAGATAATCCTTGAGGTCCGTTCAAACCTGGCATTCTGTTATTCTTTGTCTAAAATGTAATCTTGTAAATGTAAAAACAAACAAACAAACAAATACAACAAAAAGCAAACACCAAAACCAAACGAACAAAACTTATAGATTATGTATTTGAGCAATTTGTAAAACCAGGCCATAAAAGTTTTTATTTGCAACTGGAAACCTAGTTGATTTCATGGCTTTTAAATTCTTTGAGCAACTGGAATGTGTATTACTATGATAAAAAAACAACAACCCAAAATATGGAAATGCCATGCACACTGCACCAAAACTGTTAGGCAGACAATATAGAGTTTTTAGTATTCCAGTCTTTCTGAATTTCTGGGCTTCCATCACAGCAGTTGTGTCTCAAGTTCACAGATGTAGACTGTTGTGTTGATTGTATAGAATTGTGCATTGTGTGGGTTAATATCTTTTGTATTTGCAAGGATGATCATGTTATAAATTAGTTGTTTTTACTGTACTGGTAGTGTCAACATATTTGTTATAAATTACTTTTTTTATTCTTTAATCTTGAAGATTTCTTCTGAACAAATACTTGACACAATCTTTAGGGGTTTTTTATAATTTTAATGAGTCTTCTGTCTTGTTTGCGTTAATATTAAGATTTGCTGTTTCTTTAATTGCAGTTTACTCAAGCAGGGAGTCTTTCAGTGAATAGTTTTAGAGAGTAGCAGTATTTTATTTTGTTATTCAAATAGTGTTTTCACATTCCATAATGTTTTTCATTCACCATCAGTAAAGCACATTGTAAATGTAATTAGTACAACAATTTTCTGTTAGCAGTTTTTGGGCCAATAAACAGAAGTCTAGAGAAGTAATTTTCCTAATGCTATGGAGAAAGTATTTGGAGAATGCAGCACAAGATAGTTGACTTTCTTTCCCCCCCCCCCACTTTTTTTTTTTTGACCTAACTTGTAGATAATATTTTATACAAAAGCAATTAGAACCATCAAACAGATGCTATTTCAAAAATAAAAAAGCTATTTCAAGTGTTTTAGAGCTTACTGCCTTTGTTGCTCTTTTCCTTTTTTATTTTGATTCAAATCAAGTTTTGTTATAATGGGAAAGTAATTTTATCAGAAATAGTTTTCTGTTTCCTTGCCCATAGTTAATCTGTTCTGGAATAGAGAATTGTCAGTATTCTCTTAGTTGTATGCAGATGATATACCAAAGCAAAGAGATATTTTCAAGACAACTTCTGCAATGAAAAAAATCCTTCTTTAAAAAAATTTAATTAAAAAATAATCAAAAGGCAAAGAAAATGCAAGCCCAGTACCCATTAGCAAATATTATTAAGATTAATAGTGGAAATGTTGGAATTATTTAAAGGTGGAAAATACATTAATGTTACCCATTGTGTGAGGTTTTCATGTACTCGAGATGACTGTGTAGTGCTGTTGAATTGTTCTCAACTCCTGCAGTACTTCAAGTTGAGTTGATTTATAAAAGCTCTGTGTGTAACTGGGTCTTGAGCAAGAGGAAAAAACATGGAATGTTAAAAATATTGTCTGAGGTTGACTTTAAGCATATTTTCTTGTTTAGGATTACTTCCTGATCTTTGGAAACAGGACAGAAAGATGATTTAGTTACTAGAAAAAGTTAGCTCTATGTAAATACGTAGAGATGACTACTTCAAAACTTCTTTGAACAATTACTTTATTTTAAAAATAGGCTTCTCATTAAAATGCCCTCCTATCCCTTAGTTCTCTTAATAAACTGCTCCTAACACATGCTTCAGACAATGAGTCCTTAACTTATAGTGGAGTTTGAATATTTTGTGTCGAATGCGTTGCATATATCAGTGCTTCTGAGAAGCAGGATTGACTAACCTAGGAGGGAGGTTGTATAAATACTTATATTCCAGTCACCAGATTCCATTTTAGAGTATTACTGCATTGTACTGTATCTATTTAATGTAGAAATACACAATATATATGTGATCACCACAGAGAGAAAACGGTAATTGACAGCCATTTTGGAGGCAAACTCCTTACGACAAAGCTCAAGGTGAGAAACTAAGAGCTTTTTCTGGACTGATTTTATTACAGTGTTGTAGTAAATCTCAGAATAAGGATGTATAGGCTGGAAGGTCAGTCTGTGTTAAAACTGATGTCATTGAACCAGACTCATTCTGTTGTATTCATATAGTGACAAGCACTAAAATATGTGTCTATCTAGGAACTTGAGATGACACTAGGAAACACAACCTAGCAACCTAAAGAAGCTGACAGTAACTGTGAAGTTATTTTCCCTGATGCTGTTCCACCACTCCCCCCTCCATCATGAGAACCATCTGTGATCTTAATATCTTGATGCTATCAACACCTGTAATTCTGTATGCTTTCTTCTGATGCTTTTACAATCTTACTTTCCAATTTACCCTTCATTTGTACCAGTCTTAATGTTTTCATTACAAACCTCCACAATTTGATACTGTAATAAAATTCTCACAGAAACAAAGAAACTGCAGGCTGTCAGCTGTGGCTCCTGTTGCAAAGCATATGTCTTCAAACTGCTTTTATTTATGTATGCACAGAGTGATTTGGATATTTAAAACAATCTCTTCTAACAAAACCTTATCAAAGCATAGCATGATTGGTATGTCTTTCCCTGGGGTGCAACGGAAAAGAAAACAAAGAACACAAAGTTGTGTAAAAAGTACTATGCTAATGAAAACAGCCTGAAAGGCTAGAGAGTAGTATAGACTAAAGCAATTTAATCCAAACACAATATAATATATAATTGCAAATGTAATGTGTCCCAGGAGAGCCAGTGCTTTTCTTTAGTGTGATGGAAAAATTGTATCATATAAATATCCAACATTTCAAAAGGAAGGCCAGAGTTTTATTAATTTAGAGATAAAATTCTGTGCTTTATAGTTCATAAAAAGGCAACATCTGTAACAAAAATACTGTGGAAATACCAATACATGGTGTCAGTACTTACTGTTCTGCCTTTAATGACCATACTTAGCTCAAGTTGATGTTTTGGTTTTTTTCTATAAACTTAGAAAATCACAGAAGGTATCACACTAATATTAAATTAGTAGCTGAGTATATATCTTCTTTGCTGCAGAAGTCACTGAACAAAATAGACAGACTGGTATTTTTGCAAGGATTTTCTTGTCAGCCATTCCTAATGATTGTCCTCCTTTTCTGTTGGCTGTGGTGATTTGTCTGTTGTCTCGAATGTCAGTTAGCCTAAGATAAAGGGGAGGACATGAGCAGCAGCTATGTGATCTTCTCCTTATCTCTCCTTCAATATTTCAGGAATTTTACTTTAAATGTGGAGCACACCCAACCTCTGACAGTGAAACATCTGTGGCTTTGAACCTCGTTACAACAAACAGTCGCTGTATCACATGTATAACATGCACAGATATTAGGTAAGTACAACAAAAAGTGTCAGAGATGCATAGTTTCAGTGCTTCAGAGCATTTACTACTTTGAAAGACCTTTTTTCCTCCTCTGCTGGTTTTCCTTTTAAAATATTTTTTTTTCCTATGGTGGAAAATGAGCCACATTTTCATTAGTGTTCGGTTTGTTAGGTATGAATCCAATTTATAATTTAGTTCCTTAGTTGAGTTGCAGGTGAAAATCTGACTTTTTAAGTTCAGCTGCAAACTCAAGTGCTCAAGATAGTGGCATAAGTGTGCAGATCTTTGCTGCTAATCTGTATTTAAGAGCCAGTGAATGAATGCATGACTTTGAGGGGGACATTGTTTCTGCAGAAAGGAACTTTTTGGTGGTTTTTGTATAAATCAGAGCAAAATTTCTGAAGATGCATTTGTTCTCATGTTCTTGTTTATTGCATTTGTAAATAATGTAATATGTTTTACTGCATGTTGTTTGGGCACAGTCATTCAAGAATAGCATTACTTGCAAATGCATGGATTAAAAAAACAATTGTCTGAGAAAGCCACTGTTGTTAAGAACTACCTGGAATGCATTTGACTGCTGATTAGGAGAGGTTTTGAGGTGAAACCTCAAAACTTAAAATACTGTGTTATACACTTTGAGTATTGCTATTGATTTGGTTCTATTTTGCAATAGAAGAAAGAATTTAGAAAAACTTTAGAAGATAGCAGGAAGTGTGAATTGAACCTGTTGGGAAGTATCTTTTGGGGGAAGAGAAGCTGGATTCCTGGAAGTAAACTTTCTATTGAAAATAACAGATTGTTGTTCTGAGTATATCCCAGACCTAGTATACTTATATTGTGCTTGTGTGCTGTGCATTGGCAGCAGCTGATTGGTTGCTGAACAGCATTTGGCTGAAGAAAATCAGTCTTAGTTAGAAATTAAAAAATAATTGTGCACTGAAGAGAATCACTTCCCATGTACCCAGCATTTATAGCATTGCAATGTGTCTCTTTCAGAGACTGCCTTGCAGGCACTACATGCCAAATTACTTAGAAAGCTTGTCTCCAGTGGTTAGATATGCAACAGTATTAACCTCTATGTAATTAAGGATAATATGAAGTTTCCATTCTAAGCCCAGCTTTCTCCTTGTCCCAAGAACAAGAGGGAAAAATATCAGCCGTGAGTATGCATACTTAGGCTTGAGAAGTGGTTATACTTATTTCAGTCAAATTTGGAATGCACGTATTGACATTTTCCTGAACTGGTATATTGAGTACTGACCCGTTTGCCTGTGTTTATGAACTTGCAATTTTTTTCCTCTGTTTTGTGGCAAAATCCCAATGGAAATAAAGAAGTAAGACTTAATTTTCTCTATTTGCTTAGCTTAACTGTTTCCAGGACTAAATACTGGCTTCCTGAACTTTACTACTTTAGTTTAGTGAGGCTATTTATTGACATGACACAAATGCATATAAATTCCCATTAATTTAAATTAAGGCATTAAATCACTATGAGAGACCCAAGTTCCAGTCTATGTCTAGCTTGGCACATAATCTGGGAATATTTATTTATGAATAAGTTTATTTGATTTAAACACTAAAGAGGGAAGGAAGAACTCTTCCTGTTGCCCATATTCTGTTCAGATTGTTTCTAGCTCACAGGACCCCTTCTGAGATGCCATTAGTTGATCGTTAAGTATTTTATTTCTAGAAGTTTGTAGGAGCTCTGACCAAGTACCTCAAGAAACAAGATAGGATATGGGTGCCTGAACATCTGACAAGGTGCTAGCAATTCCTAGTTCTCTACCTATGATGAAGACAGCAGGTTCTCTGAAGTGACTTACACACATAGTCTTTCAGGCTTCTCTTTGTGTAGCAGATTCAGTTGTTCATAAATAAGTTTGTCTTCTGTTGTGCAGCACAGAGCTTCATAAGCTGCCTTATTGTATACTTCAAAAGATTTTGTGAGTGGCCTCTGTTGTCCTGCACACCTTCTAATCTATTTTGAACTCACCTGTGGAAGTGCACAAGATTGTATCAGTAAGTGATATCATTTCAGTTCCTCCTCTCTTTCATGGTTGACTATCATGACACTATTGTATCTTGATTCTGCCTCATTGCAGGTAGCACTATTCCTTACATGAAATTGTATAGCAAAGAGAGAAATAATAGTTATTGGTCAAAAGGGAGAAGTTGCAAGAGACACATGAACTCCGTACTGATTCACATGGTGCCTCTTCTGGAAAGAGCTGATTTTGACAGCACTCTTTGTGGTGTACTTACAGAACTGGCTCCTAGGTACAGGTTAAAGGCCAAATGTTAGTTGCTGTCAAATTGGTACATCAGCATTTTGCAGCAAGGTTACAGACCAGTCTACTTAAAAGTGGATAGTTCTCTTGTCGCCTCCAACAGTTCACTGGCCAAGAATGGTTTGGCTTACTGCAGTGTAGAGCCCTAGTAAGGGTCTGTACTGCTAAATGAAAGAGGGTCAACAGCTGGTCCCTGATCCCAAGCCAAATGGCAACAACTGACAGGTACCCTACATGGTAATGTGGTAAGTTACCTGGCTCTTTGTCAGAGCCAGCTTAGGATAATCTTGGAGCTGAAACCCAAAGGCTCGTTGCTGAAACTGGACTTGCAATGAATGCATATGTTTTATCCTAGTGGTAAGATGACATGAAAAAGGGTTATTCGTGTCCTAGTATTCCCTTTGTAGGGCTTTGGGAAACATCAAAAGAGGTCACAAAACACTAAGAAATACAATGAAGGGGTAAAATTGTTGAACTGACAACTGAGCTTCATATACTAAACAGTACCTATCTTTAGGACTTTTTGTCCTCTGGCTTGTCAAAAACTCTTAAATATTTCTACTACTAGTACTCTATTAGTATTTCCTCCCAGGGGCTCTTGTCTATTCCTGATGACTTATTGTGGTTTTTGTTGGTCTCTCCTCTTTATGTAAAAGAATAGAAAATGGAAGAAAACAAAGAAGAAAAAAACATTGTCTAAAACCCCCTTCTCTAAAAATGTTAGAGGAACTAAAATAGATTAAAATTGTTCAGTCTCACCACATCAAAATATTGATGCATATTTCTGAGCTAAATATCAGGCAAAATAAATTATCAGTGTTTTACAAAGCTTTTACATTGTAAATTCCTGTAATACCTATAAAATATATGCTCAGTTTTTGAGTTTCTAATTCTTTCTGTAACCTAGTGTTCTTGTAATATTTATATATAACTTAAAGAAATTGCACAAATACCAGTAACATTTTACTTTATCTAAACTTTTATGTAACTATAGGTATTTGTGCTATTGATTGCTTTTTAATACTCCTATACAGGCGAAAGGTAGCAACTAGGGCACTCTGAAGTTTCTGTTATTTTGTGAAACCTACTTTCATTATTTTGTATCATTCAGGTGGAAAAGAGGGATAACCGTATTGGGTACACAAACTATTATTTTGTATGAGCTTCACTACAATTTAAAGAAAAATATTGCATGTTCTTCAAAATACCTTTTTTTTTTTTTTTTTTACTGAGAAAAAAAGAAACAGGAAAAGATGACAACCAGGTACTATTTATGTATTTCTTAAATATTATTGTATGCAGCAAGATATGTCATGTCTCTAGTTGTTTCTGCCCATTTGTCATGGACAGCTAGTCCACCACAGGCACAGCATGTGTGGTTTTGTAAGGTTTGCAGAGCTCATAAAAATAATATTTTAAGCAATAGTGTATTTTATGGTATATAGAAAATATACAAACTGGAAGTAATTTTTAATCCTATTGCAGATTTTGGTTCTCTAGTTTACTTAGGAACACTTTCTATTTGTCTTGGGTTTATATTTGATATGAACATTTTCATGCAGCTCAGACCAAGTGAAATACTTCAGAGCCAAATACCATTGTTAGGGTTATGCTAAATCCATAGGCAGTATTCCATGTAGTGTAATGTCTTCCAATGTATTTTGCTTACCTACAATAGAGCTAGTGTGAATTGGCCCTTATTTTGTTCTGTAGCATTCAAGGTGATGGGTTGCTATTTTACGTCTTTGAAGAAGCTCTTAATAGGTTGAGCAAATGGCAGAAAGTTGAAAAAAATACTAAAACTGTGCAATCCTCAAGGGAAGATCTGCTTTTGTCAACTGTTTCCAGTAGAAATAACATCAAAAGGGGGTAGGAGTACCCCAGGGTACCCATAAATCAGGCTCAAGAATAACAACAGTGTTAAACAGTGTAAAAATAAAATGTGCAGAACAGAAATGCCTCACGTCATCTTTCACAAACTAGGTATGGTACAATTCCTAAAGGCATCATTATTTTTAGCTACTAGAAGATACAGATAAGTGTAAAAGATATATAGGGCTTCCTGTCACTTAATAGGTAGAAAGAATTCTCCAGAAGGAGAAGTATTTGCTGCTGTGTTGTCAGTTTTTATCAAATAAATCACTACTTCATAATCTTGGAGAAAAAAATGTTTTGTTTGGCTTAGACAATAGAATCTTGCAAAATGTTTTTCTGTTATTTGGACTTCCTAGTACTAGAGTTGAAGTAAGAGCTTCAACAAGAGTTGGCAAGAGTTAGAAGTGCGTATGGAAGATGTTCTTCAAGAGTAACTGGAATGTAAGGTCTTTTTCATAATTATTTTCAGCCAAATCAGTGTAGACAGAGATCACATTAGACTCTGTCGGCAGAAGAGTATTGGAGAAGGCTAGTCTGAAGAAAAAGAATTGCTTACAAAATGTTTCCCTCCAGCAGCAGTTTGTGCCATCCCCCATCACTTCTACTCACTCATTTCTATTCCTGCAGAGTCATGACCTGCACTCAAGAGCCTTGTTTTTATGGGGTAGTATTTCCAAATTTGTAAGGAATAGAATAATTTGCGATTCAATAAATATTTATGTGAATTATTTTCAGTTGTGGATTCTGCCTGTGGATTTCACCTGCAAATGGAAGACCAGTTCCCCCAGGTTATTATGGGGATTGGGGTTTTTGTAATGTCATATATTGGTTTTTGGTCTTTAT